GTAAATCCAGAAAGCCTTTTTTTTCCCGCTTCTTAAGAAAGTTAAAAGTCTAAAATTGACCAGATCAGTTCCATGTATCTCGTGGTATTTTGTGACTGTGAGGTGTTTTCAGCTCTTAGTTTTATTTCATTGCATATTTTTAGTTTGAAAACTCAGCGTTGGATTTACAACCTCCTTAAGAGGCCGGCAATTTATATGCCTATCTCTAACTGACCATATCCCAACCTCCACACTCATAAACTCACAGACCATGAGGTGCAGTCCCGCTAAGCAGGTGTGGGCTCTGTCACATAGTTAAATCATTAAGTGCACGAGGGCACCCGCTCCCCATTTCTTTTTGAGGCCCATAGCCCATCTACGAATACAAACCGGGTTCTCCTGCCCTTCATACAGCGTGCACAAACCAAGCATGAACGATGTAGGGAACATCTAGGAATCTGTACGTGGCAGCATCTGGTTGTTTGTGTTTTCAGTCGTAGGATTTACAGCTGTTCATGGCTTTGCTGAATTTTGGTAATCGGGTAAAATGTATTGACACAAACAGGAAGAGACGGTTCTTTCTTTTAAATGCCAAAATGTTGTTTCCAGATAATATGTGCTGTCACGACGGTCTGTCTCATTTCTCTTTTTCATACAATTTCAAGCCCTCATGAACTCACACTCAAGCGCTGCAGCAACACACACAGGAGATGTCAACGTGTAAGAGTAGTGATATATATACAGTATATATATAGGCTGTGCTTGTGACACATTCAGTGAATCACCCTGATAAATAAAAGGCCACGTTGTGTTGAAACGACGAAGATCCTTCTCAGTTACTCACTTGGTGTTGCACAGTTGTGTGTTTTTTTTTCACAATGAATTATGTACTGAAAAGTTGATATCTGTTTTTCAAGTTTTCAAACAATGTTATGCTATTCCCTCTAACTCCCATTTTCTGCCTTAAACTAGATATTGATTGGAACATGTCTATTATTTCATTTATTCAGTCAATAGTGTGTTGTTATTCCAGATCATCTTCTGCTCAGTATCTTGCACTAGGTATTGATTGGATAATGGCTGCTGACTTGCTCTGTTAATGTTTTGTGTAATTTCAGGCCTGAAGCGAATTAGGGAAGCTTTGAAAGAAAATGAAGAAAAAACGACCAGCCCCGACTCGCACTCTGTCAAAGAAACAGTCGAGGAGAGCAAGAAGTCAGCGAAAGAGGACAGCGCGGATTCAGACAATGCCGCCATTGTCAATTCAACATCATCACCCCAGAGCAAGTCATCAGACCAGCTGAAAGAGGGGGATAGCCCTGTTCCTGACACGGGCTCGCTGGCCGCCGATGAGTTTGTGTTGCTGGACAGCCAAGCGTCTAAGCCCGCAGAGAGTCTGGACTCGCTTATTGGTACTCTCAGGCATCAGATCAGTTCCTCTGATTGGCTGGAGAAAAACACTCCAGAGCTGTCTGCTGGGGAGGACCCAGAAATTCTTGATGTATTCAAGGCCCTGCTGCAAAGAGCCAGAAAGTAAGCTTAGGATAAACAGACACGAATGTAGCTGCCAAATTTGGAGAGGCAGTACTTAAGCATCCTTCTTGCTCCGTGCGTTTGCGGTGAAAAGCTCGACACAGACACCTGACACGAGGTCAAGCCTGATGCTTCTTTTTGAACAGCGAAACAGCTGAGAGCAGGATAAAGAGGAGAAGTGAAGGAAAGTAGTGCATTGGAGGCCAGGATGTAAGAATAAGAGAGGATGCTTTTCTAAACGCATCTTGAGGCCTTACTGTTAAGCTGCTAAAGGAGACTGCCTTGTTTCTGTTTGGAATCTAGAGTAAGATATGTGTTCAATCACTCATATTCTAAGTGAATGCCAAATCAACCAAAATCAGTCACGTTTTATTCACAAACACTCGTATCTCATGAACTGTGCATCATATTATTTTGGTCATATGGAATTTATTTTTTATCACAATACTGTAAAGGTAATGATCTGTGAATAAAGGACTGAATTATAAATCATATGTTTTAGTTTAGCGAGTTTATTTCTTTTGCAAAACACGCCCTGAGAGAACTTCACAGTGACATTTCCTAAACCTTTGTTTGGGTGGTCTGTGGGTGCTGTTGCCGTTGCAACAAAGGAAAGCGAAGGGGGTGGCGGTTGGGTGACGTGGCGGAGACACATCTGAGGTTGAAGACGCCGTCAGCCCCTCAGTGTAAAACTGAGAGTGGGATTTCCTTCAATGTTTTGTGATACATAATGACCCGTTAACACCCCCCCTACACACTTTCGAAATGGCATAAACAAAAATCTGAGTGGGGTATTGCCGTTACAGAGTACCCATCAAAGTTTTCAGGGATTTTAGACTTTTTTAATTTCCCCTAATTTCCCCAGTTTTATACCTTTTTTTTTTTTTTTCTTAACCACACAAACTTCTGCTTCCTCAAACACTGAATGGCCGTTGTTGAAGCTTTCACTTTCTCTACAGTGTGACTTAATAAGGTACAGTGGAGAATTCTCGGGGAAATTTCACCCACGGCCGGGGGAGTTTCCATTGCAGCAGAGGCGGAGTCACGCCGAGGGGTTTGATCTGTGACTGAGTGCTTGTGGTCATAAGCAGCAAAAGCAAATCATTTGTCAGGCTGTTAAGTGTTTGTTCAGTAACACTGTGGTTGTTGTACTCTAAACTTAGTTTTACTCGTACACAGACTTAAATCAGAGTGTGATTTCAGTGTGGCAGCTTTTTTTCCTTCATCTACAACAAAGGTAAGACACTACTTTGATGCATTCTTTAAGCCGATTTTAATGATCTGGATAAGAAGGTTGGTTTCGAGACAGATTTTCGCTTTGTAACCCAACTTCAGTACACTTTAATTACACTGCTGTTTCCCCTGCTCCTTTCTCTTTCAGCAATGAAAATGAAGTTTGTTGAGCTGGGGGACTCCATCAGTCGCTTCAGGTTCGCTCAGTCCTGCCTGGGCTTAGCAGGTTGCCTGTGCGTGACCTATGCCGTCTGGACGCCGTTCTGGCTGAATGGGAAGGGGCTGTGGACCGAGTGGAGCAACACCACGAGCGAGCAGATCAGACCAAATCGTCAAGATGATATCGTCTTCAGTGGTGAGTGAAAAGCTGCATTCACCTCTCTGACATCCTACTGCAGTCAACATGTCAAATTTGTCATCTGTCCAAAGCTGTCAGTGCTGGTTAGGTTAAAGGTTTGAATAAAACATGGTTGGGATGGCCGCATATTGAAGGAAGGTTGGGGTTACAAACATGTCATGGCTGTGCTGTTATGATAAGACACTGGCTTCCTGAGAAACCAGCCTTAGGGGCATTTTTTCTTACCCCTGTAGAGGTTAGGACACATTGGATTTCTCAGTAGCAGTAAACAAGTTTGAGCGTGCTCCTTGTGCAGTTGCATTCTTTGCATCTGCTGAAGCGCTGACATTTGGCTGAAGGCTAATGTGCTGCTATGTTGGTGAGCTGAAACCTGTCTGTCAGGTGAGGCTCATAGCCTGTTATTGACTTACACAGAAGCTCTCCTGTCATAATTCAGTGTGTTATTTTTGCAATGAATCTAGTAAGTAGCTGCCTTTTTAAGTTTTTATGGGAAGCAATTGTATCCTCTATAGCAAATGTACATACACAATATTATTATTATTATCTACATATTGATTGTACATGAGGAGACAAGAAAATAGCAACAAGCATTGTCCCTTCTGTCAGGATCTAACTATAACCAGTGAATTATCAGGACTGTAAACAGATGAATGAGCCCTCCACGACTTCACCCATATGTTTCCTAAACAACGGTACTGAAGCGCAGTGGGGCGGCTACGGCCGTTGCCATCCCAGCAGTGCCAGATTCCTCCTAACTCCCGGGTAGTCCAAAAGTGAGCGAAGAGGCGGAGGATGAGTGGAGCTGAGGCAAGCTATGCAAATGGCCACTGACTGTCCTGTGACTCACCTGTCACTCAAAGCAGCCCTGCTATTAATTATGCACAGCTTGAGCCCTTGATGCAATTTAAAGGAGTGAGTTATTTAAAATTCCCCATATGTTATGAATTCAGCTATAGACACGCAAAGTTTTTTTTTTTTTTGGTGCCAGGCTGTAAACGTTTTTATGTCTGCTGCAAAACTAGGCATTTCATCATGGGGATCTATGGGGATTTTTTTTGACACTTCTGTGTTTATATTTGAAATACAACACTGTTATTAATCTAGTAAAAAAGAGTACAATACAGTCAGCTGTTAGCCGAAAGGGTCAGATAATTCCATTTGCTTACATTGCAACACAGTTGGGTGGATGCAGGTTCAGCAGCCCATTAAACAAACATCACACACTTACATAACATAATGGCCTGCTTGACTTCCAAACCACACATTAAAAGCTAAACCAACAATTACAAAGCAGATGTAATAGTAACTGTAGCTACAGATGAAGCTCCAAGGAAGCTGTTACATTTGCTTGGTGCATAGATAACCGAAGTATAGTGTGTGTGTCTAAGTGTGCCAGTCGTGGTTGGTACTGGTAGATGATCACCCATCATCCGGAACCAGCTGCTGGTTATTTATAACAAAAAATAATGACGTCCCCTGTCACTGTTCGCTGTGTTTCAGTGTGTCACGCTTTTGTTACACAAACACACTTTCAGAATGACTCAACTGTCGCGCAAAAATAGCTCCACACACGTGAAAGTACACGAACTCTTGATTTTACTTTCCTGGTTTCCTCCCCCACAACAGGTTGCGGGGGGCTTCCATTAGAATGTCAAATGATTCATCACGCTGACTACTTGTACTACTTCTAGTAAAAAAAAAAATTGATGTAAAAAGCACACATAAGTCAACTATTCTCATTTTGGATCTGTTGTTTTGTGTCTTCCAGCTGTAGAAGCAGAGAGAGTGTTTGGAGTTCTTGCCTTCCTGACGGCCGTGAGCACTGCCGCTCTGTGTCTGGTGTTTGCCCTCTGCTGGACGTCTCAGACAGTGCGTTCCTACTCCAACACTCGCTCCCTCCTGATGGCAGGGCAGGCGCTCTACCCCACCACCCTGCTGCTGCTCACCATGGCCTCCACAGGTACGCCGCAGGAAGGCACAATTCTCAGAATACGACAAACGCTTGCTTTTTAGTGCCTCACACATATACACAGATCAAGTTTTGTGCTTCAATTTATTAGTAATTAGACTGTGTTGTTTTGCAAGTTTTAAGACACCTTCCTCAAGTCAAGTCATAAAAATACACCCATTTCCTATTAGCTTCCAAATAGCCTTTTGGTTTGGGTAGTTCATGTCAAACACACACCTACAGATATTCTTCCCTGTACTTTTTCGTGCCCTGCAGGGCAGCAGTTTTTAAAGAGACTTTTTACTTCCCCTGAAATTGCAGTTCATTATCACAGAAACTCTTTTTTTAAAGCTCCAGGCGTGTAATAATTGATCCTAATGGCTTTTTTACTTTTTTGTGGCAATGATACTCCATTTAACTCATTTTTCCCACCTTGTCTACAGGCTTCTTCTTCCTCCTGAGCTGGTCGTTTTTCACCTATCAGCACCGGGAAGAAATCCGCCAGGACTTCTCTCAGCTTGGATCCTCCTACTGGCTTGGGGCTTTAGGCTGGATCCTGCTGTTGATCGTGGAGTTGATAGTCTTTATCGCTGAACAAGCTATTGTGCCCGACATCGTACCGGACTTAGAGAAGGCTGTGGAATCATGGCGGACTTCTGCTCAACTTAAGGCTGCTAAACGGTCTTTCAGTGACGGTTATTACCCCGTTACCCTCAGCAGCAACATAGCTCCAAAGAGGTATATGTCAGCACCTTGAACTGAGAAAAACTGATAGAGAAAATGATTGTATACGTGTAAGCTACACTTGACACACACACAGACTCAGTACTGGAATTCAGTGCTGGCGAGAGGAATTAAGCTTCTCTGAATCCTCAAAGTCACTGGGACTGAAGGCTTCCGCTTCCTGAAGCGCTGATTGTGGTGGTCGTTCTCAGCAAGGACGGAAATAAAATAAAAACACTAAGAACCAGTAATACTGACTAAAAAAATGGCCACCAAATGGAAGATCCCAACTGTTCTCTGACAAAGGGATATGTAGTCTTGGGTTTGCCTAATTTTGTGTTTGCAAAAAAAAAGGTTTTGATCAAGCTTACCCCTCAGCCAGGAACAGATCCAGGAGTGAAGGGCTTCCTGTTGAATACATGTGAAAAAAACACTGTCAGAAAACATCACTTTGCTACGTTTACCTGAAAGTTTCAGCGTCTGCTGCAGTGTACTTGATGAATGTTAAAATGGTGCTGTCTTGTGATGACTGTGTGAGACTTTGAACAGTAATTCTCATGTCAAGAAAAATGGCAAGATAAATGTCTTATTTTTAAGGAGAGGGTTTTTTTTTGTTGTTGTTCCTTTCCACTGTTGCCAAGTGCTCGCTCAAAGGAAATCCACAGAAAACTCTGGATTTGTTGGGTTCTCAGTTAAAAATCTGTCAGGTCTTTACTATGTAAAGTGCTGTGGGATGACATATGTTGTGTATTAGTTCTATATAAATAAAATGGAATTGAATGAATGTGTAAGTTTAATGTGCAAAGTGTTCCATTGACGTATATGTAAGACACATTATGAATGCTGCAAAATAGCAGATGTGTT